TTTTTTTTTTTTTTTTTTTTTTTTTTTTTTTTTTTTTATAAAACGAAAATATTTTTTGAGGTTTGGACTAATTGATTAGTGATTTGTAGCTGTTGTCCTTTTCAGGTATTATCTTCATTTGCTGAATTAATCCCAATCTTCAACAAATTATCTCGTGTATCTATTGCAACTGAGTTCCGATCCTGGTGTTCGAGTTGGAAATTTCTGCAACTACTGCTTCAAAAGTCTCCAAATCTAAAGACTCTTATCATCGAGGTATATAAAAGCTCTTAATATCTCGAACCGAACTGATTGAAGAATCTATAACTGACCATCCATGTATCTGTTGTAGGGTCCCTTGCACTTCTATGATCAATATGGAGAAAAATCTGAGCTTCTAATTTGCGAATGCTTGTCGGAATATTCATTCCTGTCCTCCTGTCATGTAAAAGTCCTAGAGATAACTGACTACTGCGGAGCTAAAGGAGAATTGGAGCAAATGAAACATTTCCTTGAGAAATTGCCGTGTCTTGAGCAGGTCAATGTTCATGCTAGTGCAGAAGCAAAGTTGACATTCGACACAGATCTCCAAACGCTTCCCAGAGCTTCCAATATCCACCTCAAGTTTTTTCCTTGCCAAAAAACTAATTAATGGATCAAAGAACTAAAACAAATCCAAGTAGTTGAAGAAGCGTTTGTGGGGATGATTAAGACGTGAAGCCTATGCAGGCCTTGGTGTTTTTTATAACATTATTATTATGTATCAGTTTTTCCTTGTTGATTCCTTCTTTACCGTGATTCTTGAGGACTTTGACTATTGATACATTGATAGTTATTTGGTTAACCTCTCTAAGATAATTTGAACTTGACAAAACAACGCCACAAATATACAGATTCTACAATTCCTGAAATGTATTTGCCTAAACAAAGTTGATAGTTTACAGGAACCAGAAAATAATGTATTTTATGAGGAAGCATCGTCACAAAAGAGATCACGGGAAAGAAAAACCTTCCTTGCTTTTAGTGTACACTGACATACTTTACAACCGCATACAACATAAAGCTGAATGATTTTAAGCCTACCACTTAGACGCTAGCCCGGCCTTTAATAATGAAACATACAAGAGCTGGTTCCATGTGTCAGGAACACCGGGCAAGCACCAATGACTACAATCTTGGTGGCTCACAGCGTCTTTCTTCTCCTTTTCTGTCCTGTACACTGTCCTATATATAGAAGGGTGAGCATCTTTTCTGAAATCCGTTAGTCGGCTTATGTTCATGTATATCACCGGTGTTATCATTGTATCACGCATGATGTACTCGAGAATTCTCATCTTTGAAGGATACTTTTTTAAGTAACTCGTGTTATAGATCGGTTCTGTTTCGTTATGGCATTGTCCTCCTGAATTCCATAGCCCTCCTCTATAAAAGAACATCGGTTCAATACGGTTAATAACATGTTTTTGCAGTAGATAAACAAGTATACTTCGGTTGGAGAATTATACCTGAAATGTGTAACGGAATACCCTCTAAACACGACATGGGTTTGCTTGTGGTCGATGTTCTTATCGACCCATTTCGCCCAAGTGGTGAGAGCTCGTTTATAAGCTTCGAGAACCTTTAGCCTAGGGTACACAACATTACCTTCTTGGTAATAGTTTTCTCTGCGCAAGAACGTCAACATCATTGTTAACTACGGCACAAAGAGGTCTTCTTTTTGTTCAGGTTCAGGTTCAGAATCATTACCCTAGCTTTGTTTTGTCGTGAGTCCACCAATGACCAGTGCTGAAAATGAGTATATCAGCATCTCGATACATGGATGTCGTCTTGTCCATCATATCCAACCTTAAAGTTTCCAATGTAGTCCCGTTGGTGCCTTTGAAACTTGATTCCCTTACAAAAAAGGGTGAGCCAACGAAATCAACCGTACAATTATAGTCCTCGAATCTGAAAGCGTAGAAGCCTCTCTTCTTGAACTCTCTTCTCCCTGAGATCTCATAAACTCGTTTCTTGTCCTTGAGGCTATGTCTAAGAATGCAAACAAGAGATTCCCACATGTTTCTGTTTATGGAGTCCCCAACAAAAACCAGCTTCTTCCCTCTTAGCTTCTCCAGAAAATCTGTCCCATTTAACCTAACGATTCCAACACAAGATCGCATTTTACTAGCCAATCAAAACTTTGTTACATACTCAAGAACTTAACTACAACAAGAATCAAGCTACTATTGAATTTTACCTGGGAATGTCACACCCTTTAGGCTGCCATTTCCATTTAACATAACCATCATCAGGTCTTCTATTAGCGTGACAGTTGAAATCTCTGTCTATATACGGACACGAACCAGGTGGGTAATACGGCATTGTCTCGTCATCAACTCTCACCCAATTTCCATCGTAGATATCACACTCCTCGTAAGAATCTCTGCTTCGATCTGCAGAGCCAATATCCTCTTTGCTTGTGTTTGCAGACACCATGCTCGAGCTATTGGCAATACTTATCGTAGCATTTGCTTGGAGGGTGTTTTCGTAATTTGGGGCTAAGACTTTACCATCTTCAGCCAAACTCGAGTTAGATATCTCCCGAATTCTTCGAACCAGCATCTCCAGTTCTCTGTTGGGCATCAGAGCTTGTGACTTTGACATCTGGAACTTCGTTGGTGAGATTCACTACTTTGGGCACTTGATTGGAGGAAGAAGAAGAAGGAGATGAGTCTGAAGAATTGAACTGAGTAGGGATGTTGAGATTGGAGGTTTTGAGACCTTTGAGCAGAGGAGAGACGAAAGGAACAGAGTTAGTTAGAGAGAGAAGTGTGAGGAGAACGAGAGATGCGGCGATGCCCATACAGAATCTGGTCAATATGTTTCGTCTCCTCGCAGACAAAATCGGGTCTGGAAACGAATCCATCTTCTTTTGTTTCATATCAAATTGCAGTTTAGAACGAACAAAACATGGAAACGTTGGATGTTTGCCAGACAGTTAGTTAAATTCAGTCTCCTTTGGTGTTGACGTTAATGGGATCGTGGTTATGACCAAACGACTGCTTTTTTAGCCACGTGTCATAAAGAACGACTCACGAGACTTTGGACCCCGACAGCATTCTCGTTAATTTCTTATTAGCCGCGCGTGATCTGACGGTTGTTATGTGGTCTCAGTTGCAGATGCACGCTTCTGTCGTCGCACCTGATTGGCCGATGGAGTGTAGAGAGTAAAGACCATCTTATGTTCGGTGGCTTTGTCGTGTCGCTACAAATAAAAAAATTTAGAGATACGATCAACGATGTGGCAAAGTTGTAATTCTTGATAAGAACTCCGACCGAATAGGCGGATGGATACAAATCGATTCGCTTGAACAAGATCTCGTTTAACTAATCGGGTTTAAAATTAGAGATGCACGGAGGTTTGGGTGTGATCGGTTTTTCAATTTAATTTGGTTCGGGTTTGTATTTGGATTTAACCAGTATTTTGAACCGGACCGTATCAGCGTCGGATTAAGGTTAAATCCTGAACCGAAAATATATCCGAATGGGGTGAATAAAAATCGTTTTCGTTTTGTGATTTACTATAAAAAAAACAATTAAATCCTTACAATTATTACAAATAAAATTTATAGTTTTCTTATACTCAACTAAAAAAAAAAAGAAAAATTATAGTTGACTGTGATAAATAAAATATTAATTTCATATTTTCTTTTCATTTAGTTTGTATTTAAATTTAATTTTATAATATATTTACTAAGAACTTTAATAAATATTTTTAGCCACGATAACTGAAGTTAAATTATGGATGGGTAATTGATTGAATATAACTACCAATCATTTTAATTTATACAAATTTTTTTTAGAAGGATTAATTGAATTTAATCAAATCCGGCTGTAACTGGTTAAACCATGTTAAACATTGTACTCTAGAGAAATATATCGGTTCAGTTATTGATCCATTTTTAAAACATTGGATTCTAGAGAAACACATCGATTCCCTTGCATGAAAATGTCTGATTTCAATCCCAACAATAGGCCATGGCATTAAAACCAAACTTGATCAACCAAACCAAACCCGGTTCGAGTTGGGTTCGGATCTTGAGAAATCACAGATTTTTGGTATAATGGGTTATGGGTCGGAATCGAGTGAATAGCACCAAACCGATTGGATGTATGAGTACCAGAGCATCGAGTGACCTAGGTCTAGGACTTCATTGTTTCCCCTTTTCGATTTCCACTGAACCTGTTAAGATTTTCAGAGAATCTCACTATAACTTCTTAAAGATCGAGATTTCCCTAAATCATGATCATATTTCCTAATCATATCCTCTCTGATTTCTATTCCATTCGGTTCTGCGATTTAGAAACCCTAAAATCTCCTTTCTTATATAAGTTACGCTCTACACCGAGGTACAAAACACCAAAACTCCTCTCATCCTCCTTCGACGAAATCACTAAGAGGTGATATACTCTCTCTCCTCTTCTCTGCAATTGAGTAATTGCTAGATGTTCTGGGGTTTCTAGGTTTGTCGGGTTCATATTCAGTTATTTGTTTTTATGAAACATATTGTTGTCTTAAGTTCTTAGTTCATAAAAGTTGTTAATTGTGCTCTCAATTAATCTTTGAGTGTTAACAGAATGATGATTTTTCTGTTCATAGTTCATAGAGTTCTGCTCTGGTGTGCTTAATAAAGTGATGACTTCGATGATGTTCATGTTTAGTGATATTTTTTCTATGAATCTTTGTACTGATACTGAGAGTCTGAGACAAACCTGTGTTCTTTATAATTCTTGTCTACTTGAATTAAGGTTGCTTTTATTTTCATTTGTGACGTGCTTGTAACAAAAGCATATTGTATATTTGTGTATCGTTTGCAATATGTTTCATTTTGCTATAAACAGTGATATTTTATTTATCTTGATTCATTCTTAAAGATGATTGTTTTGTTTATGTATATGTGATGATGTTGATGTTCTATTTTGTTCATGTTCTAAATGTGTTTAATCTTTATCTTTTGTCTGTTTTGTTTTGTTTAATCTGACTATTGTTTGTCACTTCTTTGTAGATAGATTCATCGTCATCTAAGAACACATGAAACAGTGGAGCTGACAAGAAGGATGGAGTTGAATACGAGAACTATGAAACAACAGATAGGTGTGGAAAGAGAAAGGAAGCAGATACACTTTGTGAAGAAAGTCCTGAGGTAAAAAAGGTGAAAAAATTGTTGTGGCAAGGTCAGATGTCTGGAATCATTACACCAGAACCAAACAGAGTCGTGATACGTGCATTTTTCACTACCGCCAAAAGGCCTTCTCATGTCCAACAAAGTCAAGAACTTCCAATCTATAGAAGCACTTGCTCATCTGCAAAGAGTATCAATCATACTTAATCAACAAAGGGAAGAATCAAACTCAAATCGGTGAAGAAAGCACTATCAAAAGTACATGAGCCAGTTTTTAGAGAAGCCACTAATGAGTTATTGGTGTTAGCTGAGTTGCCTCTTTCTTTCATAGAAAGCACATGATGGAAACACTTTTGCACTAAGGTGAACCATTGTATATTTGACTATTTGTATTGTAAAAGAGTATGTTTATTTCTAAAACTAATACTATTTTTAATATTTAAATCTTTACAAGCCTCACTCAAGAATAATAACTGCTACTAGAGACATTGTGGAGATGCTTGCTAAGAAGAAAGATGCATTGAAGAAATGGTTATACACTACCCAGCAGAGAGTTTTCCTCACCACTGACATTTGGGTTTCTCAGGTGATATGTAAGCCTTTTCTTTTGTTTCTGTAAAACAAAACTGAACACGACAACATTTGATTTCCATTCTGAGAGGATTGTTTTTGTATTGTTGGCAGGTGCAAGTTACATGGTCGTAACTGCACATATTTTTGATCCAACATAGCACCTGAAAAAATCATTCTCGGTTTCAAATTGGGTATGGATCATAAAGGCCAGACGATTGCTAATGTTCTTCTAGAGTGCTTAGTTGACTGGGGAATTGAGAAATTTGTTTGTATTACAGTAGACAATGCAACTGCTAATACCTCAGCTATTAGGAGATTCCATAGGGTGCTTAGTCAGGTCGCCTGATTCTTTTGTTTTAGTTGAAAACATTCTGCATATGAGGTGTTGTGCCCACATTATCAACTTGATAGCTAAAGAGGGTCTAGGTGATTTAGCGAAAATTTTATGGCCATCCAGAATGTAGTCCAAGACGTCCGTTTTTCTAGCAATTGGTTGAATGCATTTGAGCAGAAGGTTACTACTGGGAAGATGACACGAGGAAGTCTCCCTTTAGATGTTAAGACTAGGTGGAACTCAACCTTTCTCATGTTGTCCAGAGCTTTGCAGTTTAAAGTGGCTTTTGATAGGATGGAAGCAGAAGATATGAAGTACAATGACTACTTCTTAGAAGTAGAAAATGGGGCTAAGAGGCAAGGACCGCCTACTATTACTGATTGGAATGTCGTGGAGAAGTTAAAGAGGTTTCTGATCATATTCTACAATAGTGCCTTGGTTGTCTCTTTTTCCTCAAAAGTCAATTCTTAAAATTACTATGGTGAGATAGTGACAATTGAGAGGAATCTCACTGCATTGTTTGCAACTTAGACGCGGATTTGAAGTTGAAGGCTGAAGATATGCTGCACAAGTTTTTGAAGTATTGAGATGGCATCAATAACGTGAATAGGATGTTAATCATTGCATCAATCATCGATCAGAGGAAGAAGATGGTTTACACAAACTTTTGCTTTAAGAAACTGTATGGGAAGGATAGTTACGAGTCCAAAGAAATGAGTAGATATGTGCTTGATCTCCTCACAAGCATGTTCCAGGAGTATGCTAGCCGGTTTAAAGGTGCTAGTTCTCAATCCTCCCAAACGAAGCAAACACCAGTTGTGAGTGTTCAGGAGACTCAAGAGAAGATGGATATGTTGAAGTTGGTTGTTGAAAATTTTGGTTATGAGGGGATAGATTCTGAGTACAAGGAACTAGTTTCTGAATCAGGAAATGAGGCAAGGGATGAGCTGGAAATTTACTTGAAGGAACCTGTTGAGAATCAGAAGGTTATGATGGGATTTGAGTTTGACATACTAGGTTGGTGGAAGATGCATAGAATCAAGTTTCCGGTTCTGGCAGAGATGGCTACGGATCTGCTTGTGATGAAGGTTTCATCAGTGGCTTATGAAAGTGCTTTTAGCACAAGTAGTAGAACTTTAGAACCTTATAGGAGCTTTGATGATAGAAGTATTGATTTGTAGTGAGCAGTGGCTGAAGGCTGATATTAAGCTCTTTGAAAACGTCCAAACAAAAAGCATATTCTAGCTGAAGTTGAAACGGTAGACAAGCTTGAAAAAGGTATGCTTTTATTTCTATTTTGTTCTTTTAACATTTTATTTGTTTGTTTCTGCACTTACTTATTGTTTTGTTTGTCGTTACAGAGTTTGGGAGTGTGAGAATTGAAGACTGAAGATTGTTCTTGAAGTCTGAAGTCTTTTTGTTTTTGTTTTGGTGTTGGCTTTGGTTTTTTTTCCGGCTTTGGTCTCATCAGAGATGGATTTGACAGTTGCTTTTATGTTTTATTATGAGCAAGTTTGATTTACATTGAAGTTTAATAAGTGTTCTTTGGATTTTTTCTTTTCACTATTGCAAATTAGTTTTGGTAGTTCTCATTTCTTTGTCCACGTTTTGAGATGGTTGTGTTATTCGTTCTTCGAAGTATGTTTAAGGTTGTGTTTACACAAGAAATGGGTTACAAGAAAACGTTGAAACTCTGCTTTGATTAGTGTTGCCAGCGTCTATTTTGAATCATGTTAACAGAGTATGCCAGTGTTTTACTTGTATTACTATTGTATTTTAAGTATTACCGTGCCTGTAAGTGTTCCATGAAACAAAAATGCAGGTGTACATTTCTAATAAACTTGAACTTCTGGGTGAAATGAGAACTTTTGGGTAATATGAGTAGTATGGATACTCGAAACCAGGTTCAAAACCAAACCCAAAAATTATATGGGTTCAACCGGGTTTAGGATGTGCTATCAAACCTGACCAGAACACGGGAAAACCCAAACCAAGACCGACCCAGATTTTTATTAGGGAATTTGCAAATATGACTCAAAACTTGATTTTAAAGACAAAATTATACCCAAACACCAACCAATGCCAAACTAACCCAAAAGTCTTGTGAAATTACAACTATGCCCTTATGATCAAACAAAAAACCCAAATTATTTTTACGATTATTATACTGAAAAGTCTGAGTCTTCTGAGATATTGTAGGTCTTCTGGAAGACGTCTAGGGAAGTCTTCTTTTATATTTGATCTTGAAAATAATTTATAAATTTTATAAAAAAATCTATTGATAGGAGAAAATTTGAAATCATATAATTATAAACAGTTGTAAGTTATATAAACTAAGATATAATATAATTAACTTGTTTCAGCATAGATGAGTAATGGGAGAATTTCAATTATACCACTTTTCATGTTTACCATCAACAAAGGAACATTTTTAAAAATACACATTTTATTAAAGGATAAAAGACTCTTATATCATTGTTCTTTATATATATACATAAAATAAATATTAAATAAAATATTAACCCTAAACCCTAAAACATCAATTCTAAACTCTCGACCCTAAAAAGTAAACCCTAAACCCTAAAAATCAACCCTAAACCCTAAAATATCAATTCTAAACCTTAAACCCTAAACTCTAAACCCTAAAAAGTAAACCCTAAACCCTAAAAATCAACACTAAACCCTAAACTATCAATCCTAAACCCAAAACCCTAAACCCTAAATTCTAATAGTATTTTGACTATTAAAATTTTAATGGTAAAGTTGGTTAGTGTAAAGTTGAAATGTGGTATCTTGAAAGTGTTATATCTGGCAATTTCCCATGAGTAAAAGTGGTGAGTCATGATATTTTTTTGTTTAGGATTTGGCAACATATGTTTTAGTATTATATGTATTCTTAGGGTTAGATTTTGGAAGCTTCAATTTTTAATTTGAAAATTATTTTTTACCTATATGTGTTTAGTTTTGTGTCTATTAAACACTTTTCAAGTTGAATTTGATTTTAATGAAGTGTTTAGTTATTTAATTAAGTATATGATTTATATTTATGGTCTAGACAACATTTAGGAAGTCTTCTGATGAATAGTATTTATGGGTTAGATGACTTACAAGAAGTATTCTGATGAATATTATTTACGGGTTAGAAGACTTTCCTTAAAGTCTTCTGAATCAAAAATAATTGACCTAAATAGAAATTTTTGTCTCCATATATAAAGAAAAAATTACACATCCTCTCTCTTCCTCTCAAATGGCTACAGCAAAAATGTAATGTTTTCTCACTATAAAACTCTCTAACCTCTCTCTAATCTCTTTGAAATTCAAAACACTAAACTTTATATCAATTTCTCATTTTTGTCTCATGTCTTTCTCATTAATTTATCTTATTTTTGCAGGTTTTTAATCACATGAACTTGACTGAAAGGATAGGAACCAAGCCCATGACTAGCTAGTAGCTTGTTTTTGCGCGTTCGTTCATTTGTAGTTTGCTACGCTGTTTTGCGAGTCATTCCATTCTCTTCCCTTAAACTACTATGTGAGGATCGGGGGGTCGTTACGAGATCCCCTTCTTCATATCTTAATAGGAACGTAGGGCGGCTTATGGCTTGAAATCCTTTCGAAAAGGTCAGGGCGAAGGGTATCCAACCAAGCAACAAGGAAAATTACGAGAAGCAGAACAAAAGAAGATAGGGGATGGGATTCTAATGGATATTATCCTGTAGGTGGGCAGCCAAGACAAGATTGAATTCGTTGTCAAATCATTCCAGCCAGGCATCCGTGCAGGTGTCACAGGTTCCTCCTGAAAGGCTACTCTCTCCCCAAGCGAGGAACCGCAGAACCACCTAATGGATCTGTTCTCATCTTTCTCCCCTTCAAAAATAGATCTATTAATTTTACATAGATATTTTTTTTGTGTTCTATAAAGGTAGATCTATCTAATCTTTCACTATTTTTCTCTGTTTTTAAGTCATTTGAACGTTTTTGGATATGAAGATTTTCAGATCTGGATTTGGATATCAGGTTTACAGATCTAGATCAGACGTTGGAAGACTTCTCGAAAGTATTCTAAAATATAATGGGTTAAAAGACTTCCAAGAAGAATTCTTCCAGAAGTTTTCAGACGGAGTCTTCTCCCATGTCTCCCTTTCGTAACAACTCTAAGCGTTTTGGTAAGTTTTTATGTCAGATTTTTCTTCATTTGGTAACTTCGTGTTGCTTAAAGCTCTTTCATTTTTTTCCCAAACTAAAACTCTCCAACCCCACTCTAATCTCTTGAACTTGAAAACACCAAATTTTATATGAATTTTTCATTTTTGTGTCATGTTTTTCTCACTAATTTATATTTGTTGTTGCTTGTTTTTAATCAGATGGTTCTCATATTCCACTTGGATATGTATTTTGTGTGTTCCATAAAAGTATATCTATCTAATCTTTCACTCATTTTCTCTGTTTTAAGGCATTTGAACGTTTTTTGATATGAATATTTTTTAGATCTAGTTTTGATATACAGATTTTTCAGATCTAGATCAGACGTTGGAAGACTTATGGGAAGTCTTCTAAAATATAATGTGCTAGAAGTCTTCCGACATAGTATTCTCCCATGACTTCTCTTTTATAAAAGATCTGAGCGTTTTGGTAAATTTTCATGTCTGGTTTTTCTTTATTTATATCAATTTCTCATTTTTTTTTCATATCTTTCTTACTAATCTATCTTGGATTTGCAAGTTTTTCAGATATGAGTAAGACTTTGGAAAATTTATGGGAAGTCTTCTGAGAAGTCTTCTAACATATAAGTGGAGTCCAAATGAAGAAAAATCTGACATAAATTTTCTGCTTTAAATTTAATTTCCCGCTTAAATTTTCTGCTTTAAATTTAAGTCTTCTAACGAGTCTTTTCCCATATCAAGTGGAGTCCAAGCTTGTCTTTATGAGGGAATGATTTATAATAGTTTTGTGTGGTCTGTTTTGTGATTTTTATGTGTACTCTTTTAGTTGTTATTTTTTTTTGTAAATTTGAAGAGATATTAATGAAAAAAATTGGTAAATATGTTTATTGTTCACAATATTATCTTCTCCAAATTACTTGACATTATTGAAGTTATTGATATAACTTCAACAGTAAAATACAATAACGCAAAAATTAATCAAATTTATTACAACTAAGAGAGAATAATTCTCATGAAAAAAATTAGTTAAATTAACAAAAGATCAACATTACATAAGTTCAAACATAGAACACTTTCACAAGAAGTCTTCTGGGAAGTCGTCTCAGAAGACTTGATATTCATGTGTTAAGACACATTAAACAATATGACTTGATATTCATGAAGTTACTTATTACTTTTGAAAGTTAAAAAAAAAAATATCTTAAAGTTGAAAATACAAGTTTCACAAAAACTAACGTAGAAAAATTCCGAGAAGTCTTCTCTCATTAGCTAGAAATATTAATAAGAATGAATGTTGTTATCCTCGTAAATATAACCAATTAAGTTATGAATTTCATTCAAGAGTTACAATATTGACTACTATACATGAATTAACAAAAAAATGTTAAAAAGTCTTTATAGTTTTAAAGAAGTTAAAAATTCTTTATGTTAACAAGTTAGGCATTCAATCATCTTCATTGCCAACTTAAGGGTGAGTAATGAAATTAGGATAATATAACCTCCTATATCTATGGGATTTTCGTGTATTTCCTTTTCCTAGCTAGGTTATGCTAAATATGTTGCATAAATACACATCTTGGTGGTCGAATAAAGATACACAATTCTACATTACATTCATTATACAAGCATATCAAAAAAACCCAAAAGAGTTCATCTCTCTATCCAAAATATAAGAACATCTCTAATGACATTGAATCCCAAGACACAAGTTTGAGTTTAGACATCCACATGGTTCAAACTCTCCTCTGCGAAATCAGTAAAACACACTTAAATATAATGCGGGATAATAAACCATGGCTTAGTTTTCGCTTCTTGTTCAGTTTAGCTTTGAGAGGTTTTTGCTTCTTGTTCAGTTTAGCTTTGAGATCAACCACCGTCTGCTCCAACGAAAAAACTTTAGCTTTCTCCATGTTCAATTCAGCTTTAAGATTCTTTTTGTTTTCTTCGAGTTCTTTGACTCGAAATGAATCATCAACTATTTTCTTCCTCACCAAGCAAATCTCATCAAGCCTTGTCTTCAACCAGTCTAACTTGAAGCCCGCTTCTGTTAGATCGGCCAACTCGATGCGAGAGTTGCTTAGCTCAGCTTCGGAGAAGCTATGTGCAGGCCTGTAAAGTTTCCCGATGAGCCCAAGGAGGATGTTCATGTATGTTGTCTTCACCAATTGGCTCTTTGGTTTGAAATTTAAAGCAATGTCCGGGTGGTCAATGAAAATCCGATTCACAAAATTAACCTGTCCACCAGAATCTTCTTAGAACTAATTAGAAAAGAGAGAAAAACAGCGTATATAATCATACCTGAGAATAAAGAATTTGGAAACCTCTAACACCTAACGTCTTCTTCCCAGTAACTTGTGATTCATCAACAACTTCAAGTACTTGTACTTCAACTTTAACTATCAGTTTGTTCTTCTCAACAAACCCATTTTCTTGAAGATCTTTAAGAGCCACGGCCCATGGCCAACCCCAATCTGGGATCTGAGCGCAGAAAAATACGGACGAAAATTCTATAATACAAAAACAGAAAGATTCAGCATGTTTCTATCTCTTCTATATATATATATATATATATATTTATCAAGGAAGATAAATTTTTTAGTTAATTACCAGGTTTTCTGTAGATCTCTTTGCCAGATTGATTCAGCAGAGCGAAGGAATAGCTAGCTCGTCTTTTCCATCCAAGTCGCAGGGATCCAATATTGGCAACGTGGAGGTACAGAGATAAGTGATCTACAATATTGTTTCCTTTGGGATACACCTTGAGATACCTGACAAAAGCTTTATTTATAAACATAATAATAACAGACTAAATTACTTTGTTGAATATATAATATTTGCCTTTACCATCCGCAACCACCGCTTACGAATTTTGGTGATTCTATCAAAGCCCCCTTCTCCCAGAAATTATCTATCTCAAACGTGAAGCTTGTCGGCTTTAATTTCTCCATTTGACTACCAAAAAAACGGCAGCTTTTTAACATAAATGTCATACTTCATTGTATAAATCAATTGCTAGAACAGACCTAACTAATCAGTCATAGAAGCATCACGACCCATACTGGAAAGGAAAGAGAATCTAACCGGAAGGATATTATCGTAAGTAAGAACCAAATCGAAGTAAAAAGGCGATAAGAATACTTGAGAAAAACTTAAAACCAAAGACTCACCAATTAGCTCCACAATCGATGCAGTGATGCAAAACTTCAGCACGAATGTCCAAAGTTTGATCCACTGTAAGGAGAATTCAGATTTATTGGTGAACTGCAGTTACAGAAAAACAAAAGAATAAGCAAGTTGAAAGACTTTTAAAGTCTATTGTTACGGGTCATATAATATATTCACTAGATTTTGTCCCGCGTTCTCAAGCACGGGTTTTTTGGTTGTAACTAAATGTATTAAATCATTCGATTTCTATTATATGATAGTTTTATATGTAAAATTTGATGTATATTTAACTTTTTAGTAGGGTCTTTCATTGAGTTTTGTATAACCGAATCAATTTTTTATTGAACCGATAATCAGTAAATTAAGTGTTGTGAAAATATGAAGAATTAAAACACATATTAAATTGTAACAAAAATTGGATGGGTCCATGGCCCATAGTAAATTTGAAAAATCAATACTATTAAAAAGGCCTGAAACCAAAATTGGTTGGATTTCTAATGGTTCTGGAATAAGGATAAACCTTCTTGTTGTTACAACTTAAACATATAAAATAATACCATCTCCAATCTGTATCAATAGCATATATTGTCGCAACAACCCTACATAATTTTTCCTTAAAAAATGATAAATCCATAAATAAACAATTAAAGAGATGCCAACTTCCATATTAGTATAGTTTTTGCTCAGATGTTTCAAGTAACTCCTGAAGATTTTGCATCCATTTAGCTCGCTTTATCTGCAAGTCAAGCTTGTTCTCATTTGATTCAGCAAAGGTTAACGCTTGAGAATCATAATTATCTCTGCAATTATAAATAAGTTTTATAATTTAATCTATATTATTATAAAGTGAAAACATTTTTATTGAAGTAGATAAATACCGCTGGTTAAATTCATTTGCCTCTGATATTTCAGGATTAACAAACATCTTTAGGTTGTGGGTCAAAACCGCCCCGCTCACCCGTCAACCCGCTGGTTAAAATTTTTTTTGTAAAAAAATCCGACACGCACAACCCGCAAACAAATAAATTTATATCCACACCAGCCCCGCTTAATTTTGTGGGTAACCCGCAGGACCCACATATTTTTTTTTAAGTTATTTAATTTTGATTAAAAAAATAAAAATTATATATTTATAATAAAAATTATATATTTATAATAAAAATTATATATTTTATAATTTAAAATTCTTATTTTTTTTAAAAGCACCGTATTTTTTAAAATATTATTTATTTTTACAAAAAATCACTTTTTCTAACAGAAAAAAAAATTAAAAAAAAAATTGCAGGTTAGCGGGTACCCGCAATTCAAAATCAACCAACCCGCACCGGCCCCGCATAAAATACTCATTACCCGTATCACCCACTGAAGGGCGGGACCCGCGGGTGATGACTCAGATTCCCAGCCTTACTTACATCATAAGCATTTGAGATTTAGACCTCACTTATAACTAAAAATAAATCATAAGCATTTGAGTAATTTCTTCTGACATAAAACAGAAAAATAAAGGAAGGATCAAAACATTGAGTTAGTAGAAACATATTTCTATCTATATAAACAATGGTCATTAGGACAAAATCGAAAAATAAGTTTTCATTTTCAAGGACAACCTCTATATTGCCTAATCTTAGCAAACCGTAGAAGTCATATCACCATGCCTTATGTTTCTTGGCTAGTTGTATGAAGATTCTCAGCAAATTTACCCCAAAAGATAGCAAGCTACTCTGTGACCACTAATAGAATTGCATATCAAGTTATAAAACCTATATCTTTTATATTAAATATATAAAACTTACGAAATGAAGATATCTATATCATAAATCTATATAAAACGATAAACTTACATTTGCATCACAAAGAATTAGTTTCATGGTCTCCCCTATGTCTTTCATGAAATGTCTCATGTATGAAGGATTTTGACTTGGATGCGACATGCAGTTTTCCTCGGTTTTATATCGCTCAAGAAAGACAACTGCAAATTATTCGCCATTTTTGTTTTAGGTTTTTCAAGGAATGATGAATATAGTGGTTAAGAGAGGCTATATTTATAATAGGTAGAGACGATATACATTTAGGTAACGCAAATGTAGGGCAATATTTAGACGATTTTAAAAAATATCTTTCGAGATATAAGGAATATTTCTTGAATATATTTTGAATTAGATATGAAGTTTAAAGTTTAACAGTTAATGGTAATCCAACTACAGTAAGTTACTGAAATTTATGGAATTCAACCAAAGAATAACTAACCACAATATCGATTGTGGTTAATATATAAACTTGTAGATGAAGCAATTTATTTATTTTAGTAGGAAGATAATTATAGAAAATAATTTTTGCAATATTTTCTTAACAAAACGTATCTCGTCCATTAAATGTCACCATGAGAATGATGATATATCAACATATGAAGAAAAAACATGAAACGAAGAACATTTGGATGGATTCTTCATTCTCAAATGTCTTAAAAAACATGAAATGAAGGACATTTGAATTGATTCTTCATTTTCCTTATATTTGAAATGGTTTTGAGGTATGAAATAAATGATAGAAGTAGTGAGACATTAAAAAATGGTTGATGTAATATGCAAAACTCATGAAAATCTCGATATGGACAATATATTATATAATACATTAACAAATGTGTACAACTATAACAAAATCTTAATATATGTAATATAAAGTGTAGCATGAGTTTATATCATATAGTGTTTGAAATATAAGGTGTATTACAGCTATATGAAAATTTTAATATATGAAATATATCATCATATCATAGTTAGAGTCATATGAGTTTATAAAATATAGTCTTTGAAATATAAGGTCTAGTACAACTATATGAAAATATTAATATATAGCAACATATTATCGATATATGATGCATATACCAAAACATGTCAACCAAAAAATCATAATGTTGAAAATCTATATATTGAAATCGTGTAATATAAATCTACAATCAACTACACTGGCTACAAAGTGTAAGCTAGTGTAGTATTAAGTTATATCATATAGTATTTGAAATATAAGGTGTAGTATAACTATATAAAAATCTTAATATATGAAATATAGCATCATATCATGGTTAGAGTAATATGGGTTTATAAAGTATAGTCTTTGAAATATAAGGTGTAGTACAACTATATGAAAATATTAATATATGAAATATAGCATCGTATCATCAATATATGATGCATATACTAAAAAATGTCAATCAAAAAATTATAATGTTGGAAATCTATAGATTGAAATCATGTAATATAAGGTCTATAACAAAATAGAAATGTATAAAATATAAAATGAAATATGGTTAGAGTAATTAATGAGAAGAGAGAGAATGATTCAGGTATATGCAATATGTGATATGATTTGTAACAAATCCACATATATATATATATATATATATATATAGACTTAAGGCTGAAAAATAAATTACCAAAATGTCATTAATGAGGGTACGGACAACTTCCATCAGTCGATTTTTTAAGGGTGCATTTACTTTTAATAGTATAGATACGGGTAAAAGAAAGAAAAATATTAGAACACCAGCATGAAAACTCTGACATATATATATATATATATATATATATATATATATATATATATATATATATATATATATATATTAGGATTGACACGCCTTACGGACAAAAAAATATAATAAAAATTATTTTATGTCAATTTATATTAGTCTGAAACATTTAAATAATTATAAATTAGATTGAAAATAATATTATAAAAAAATTGTGGAAAAAAATTGTGAAATCATATTTTTATTTTTAATAAATATTATAGAATTGAATTAAAATGACAGTAACCTTTATTATTCTCTAATTTTAGAGAGTGAAAATTAGCAAATAAAGAAATAAGAAATTGTAATATTATATTTATTAATTATATTAAATTTAACATAGTAAAAAATTATAAAGTTTAAAGAAATTATTTCATGAAGATTCAAGTTTTTAAAAAATTTACACAAATGATGTCTTTCATTATAATAAATTAGTCTACCTCCAAGCTAAATCATTTAAAATATAGCACAAAATGATAAAATAATTAAATCTCTATTTTAAAATTCTCTATATATATAGCTTAATAATATCATAAATAATAATAATATTTTTCTAATTATATATGGAATGAAATATTGACTAAATTTTAATAACCTAATTATTTGTAACTCATTTTAGCGTTGTTAAACTCTGTTTAATAAACTAATTATTTATTAGGAATTTTTCTTATGCTATTTTGAAATAATATTTTATAATAATATTTTATAAAATTAAAAAAAATAGTATACTTAGAAAGCAGATTTTTTACTTTAGTTACATACCACTTTATATCAAATAATTTATTGGAGAAAATTAGAGTGAAGCAAAACATAACTAAAAAATACAGAACTAAAATAATATTTAGTTTATTCTCAATTAAAAGTGATTTTAATATATATTCACCATTTATTTTTGTTTTTCTTATTAAAAACTATAGGTTTATCTAAATTATAATAAAATTTTCATTTGTAATCATGTAATCATTTTACATTTTTCAATGTTGGTTTTGCCTCTATTATAATAATAAATCAAATAAAATTATTCAGAATTACAGTTGAGGTTCAACACGAAAAAGTTTTTCTCTAATCTACATTTGTTTTTGAATACATTTTACACATATTCTTTGAAATCTATTGTTTTAAACTATGCAAAAAGTAATCTTTAACTATCAATTTTATTCAACTTGATAAGTTACAACATCAATACCATTAAAACAGAAACATTTGGTTAATGAATTTTTTATGTTTTTCAATTATACACTTATTTTTATATACAAATTTAATTTATCATTAATGACAATTTTATAATTTTTATTTGGGCCTAAAAACTATATAATAATGGATTTTATTAATGGATCGATTCTCTTTCAAATTTTATAACTTATTTCTTGCAGAAATATATTTTCTTTACGGATCAGACATGTCACATTTTTGGGTCGTAAAAATGACTCAATCCGCTGCAGAGCAGGTCGGACAAAGCGAGTTTGACTCGCTTCCCAACATTAGGCATAGTTAATTACTATTATGTTTTCCAAATAAAACTACACAATTATATACAATACATTTACATAGATATTGATGA